AGCACATATTAGTTAGACTTTTAAATGAAAAAGATCTGAGTAAGGTTTAACATAATAACCAAATTAAAAAGGAAATTTGGTTGTTTCTATAGTCTGCAAAATAAATAAAGATAATAAAGCCATTCTAAGTAAATTTTAGATAATGTAAAGATAATGATGAAGCCAAATTTCAATTTGGCTTGAATGACATTTCTTGAATGAATAAAATTTCTAGAGAGGAAAACATCTTAAGATGAAACAGAGTAATACACACACAAAAAACATCAACAATATCAAGTAAAGAGATTCAAAAAGCCCACACTAATTGTTGTTATGTGCCATCGAGTCATTTGCGACTCATAGCGACCCTATGTACAACAGCCCTAAACCATGCTCTATCCTGTGCCAATCTCATTGCCTCTGACACACCCATCCCGATTACCCCAGTCACTGAATCAATCCACCTCATAGAGGACCTTCCCCTCCTGCACTGTCCCTCCACTCTGCCCAGCATGATGTCCCTCTCCAAAGACCTGTCTCTCCTTACAACATGTCCAAAGTATGTCAGGCGAAGCCCCAGAATCCTTGCCTCCAAGGAGCAGCCTGGTTTAACCCTCTCTAGGATGAATCTATTTGTTTTCTTGGCAGTCCCTGGTACATTCAGTACTCTTCTCCAGCACCACAGCTCAAAGGCATCAGTTCTCCTTCTATCCTCCCTAGTCATTGTCCAACTCTCTGATGCATAACAAGTGATTGCAAAAACCATGGCCTGTATCAGGCGCACCTTAGTCTCCAGAGAGACACCGTTGCTCTTGAGTACTTTACAGAGGTCCCTAACTGCAGACTTTCTCATTGCAATACGTTTTTTGATTTCCTGGCTACTAGTGCCAAGAGTGTTGACCTACTTAAAAAACTCCATGGATAAATCTGATTGGCATGAACTACTAAGAAAATACAAAATTCAAATAAAGATGGGAGAACTAAGTAAACATTTTAAATAATGTTAAAATGATGACTGATAAATCATTAAGATGATTTTACTATTTCTAAATGTCATCAGACAAAGCACCACCAGAATTTTAATAAGTATGGGAAAAACTCAAATTTGAATCAAATCATGTATTGAGTATATATGACATTAACTATGCAAATAAAAAATACTGAGAATGGATTTTGATAAGAATGAGAATAGTCACTTATTTAGGGGGAAAAGACTCGGGCAAGAATATATTTTATTTCTTATATCCTAGTAAAAAGTTGTATCATTTATCCTGAAAACAGGATTTATGAATTTATAGGAGGAAAACAGGTTTAAAGGACATATTAACAGATCAGCTTTTTATTAATATTTTAGTCCATGTGCCTGTATTTTTTCATAGGAAAGAGAGAAGGAGGTAAAAATGATGCTCTCTCTCTCTCACACACACACACACACACACACACACTCTCTCTCTCTCACCTCTTTTAAGTTCCACTCAAAGGTTTCCACTGCTGATTTATTTAGTAAGCATATAAAATGCAGAAATTCTGTCCCGTTTCTATCACCACTCATTAAGACTTTGGTATTCAAGTTAATAATTATTTCTCTGCCTACTGCTATTCAAACAGAGTAAGCCTTAAGTTAAACAAAAAGTGTTAAGGTAAGATTGAAAATTCAAATATATATATATATTTCAACTAATTATATGGGTATATTTACTTTTTTCAGAAGTATGAATTAGTTTGTAGTACTAGTCCTTTGAAGGATAATTTTAGTATGTCCCAAATAAGAGAAAATAACAAGTGTCACGTGGTACTTCACTTGATTTAAATGAACCAGCACTAATTTACTAAAAATGATACATGAAACCTGAAGAAATTTTCATAGCTGATCTGAGCCTCACAAGCTAAAACAAAAAAAATTTAAACTGGTCAAGCTTCATCTTTGCATGTGTTCCTTATTTCTATACTCTTATCTATTTTTCTTCACTCTACATCAGAGGTGAAAACACTCTTTTATATTCTTTATTCTCCGAGCTCAGTTTATATTTTTCAATACTTCATTATCACTTCTAAAATGAAAATCTGTTTCTTAGTATAAACCTCTCCTTATCACCAGCATACTAAGATTTCTGTTTCCATAATTACTAGCGTCAAGAAACAAAACATAGTGAAAACTTCTGCGACAAAAGATTTTCTAATAGCCATGCAGAGAGATTATATTTATCACTTGTTATTACATTATGATGCTGCTGTTAATTTTCCCATTATACAATACATAAATGATCTATATGAATAGCATCTAAATGCATGAAGTGTATACTTCCAGTGATTTAATGTAGTGCTTTTTAAATCTGTGGGCTACATCATTTATATCTCTTGTTTTTAGAAAGTTTGTTTTATGCCACTCTGCTTTCACAAGGATCTGCATTAGTAAATGCTAACCAAAAGAAATCAGAAAAAGATTTCCACCTTAAAAAAATATATAAAAATTAAAACTAGTGTTCAGTATTTGTTTTGCTGCAAACCATTAAAGAGGTAGCATGCACCTGAGCAACAAACAAGCTGTGAAAAGAAGCATGGTCAAGCTCCCTCCAAGGAAATTAGGTATCTCAGCATCAAGCTACCTACCCACAGCTTTGAACGGTTTTTCAAAGTATTATGTATTAGTGTTATTCCAGTTTTATGTGTTAATGGCCAATGAAATGGTAGGTTGTTGTTTATTTTCGGGTGTGAGTGCACTCAAACATGTTTGCTATATAAATTGATTCCTTAAAATAATTTCATGGGAATGCTCTACTTTCATACAGCAAGGGAAACCTTTATACTATTCATCTAGTAGAATTCTAGTATATGTTATTTATTTTAACAGGTAATTTCTAAGTTCCATTAAAAATGCTATTAGTATTCTCAAATATTTCCCTTTAAACTTTCACATATTTGATTTTTAATTTCTGGAAAAAGCAGTAACAAAGATAACTACACTGTCTTGAATCTAATTATGAAACCAATTCTATGGTGAAAAAACCTTCTAGCTATTTGTGCTAAAAAGTGAATATTGCTTGTTCAGTTTTTCCATCTAAAAAAGCAACACAGTAATGCAGCATAAATCTTGGATTCTTTTTCTGTGATAATCGGAGTTAGAGTTTTTTTTTAACCTGTATACATTTAAAAGTATCAAGATTCAGTTTTTTGTGAACTCAAACACAGAGAGTAAATAAAGTATACTAATAACCAGATCATTGGATAAATAACCAAAAGGTGGTCAAAGCTTTGATTTTGAAATGTTCTTAAAATCAATTACTTTAAAAACTAGTATTAATCACAGTGGTTATGTTGAGTAATACGTAAACAGAAAAGTGGAAAACAGAATGAATTTAATTACTAGGAGAAATTTATATCATCATTATTTCTACTGACTTGCCTTTAAGACTCTTCAGGATATAAATTCTTTAAGTTCATATAAATATAAAATCTTCATATTTAAATATGCTTTTTCTTGTATTTTCTGTATAGTTCCATTTCAGTGTTATTTCTCTAAAACATAAGTATTTGTACTGACTAAAACATAGGATTTAATTTCTTTTAAATGAAATTATTTCATAACTTGTTCACAAACCTCAACTCATAACACAGATCTATATACGTATAATACATAGGGACACGCTCCCCCTGTTTCCTAAACAGAACAACTTTCTTTTAAAATTGTTATACTCACTGGATTATAAGGAAAGGGGTAGTGGTACTGTAGTAAATAAGATGAATTGTAGAAAGAAAAAAGGGTTCAATTGAAAAGATAATTGACTATTAGAAGATTATGGGAATGAAATTCTAAAAAGTATTCATATTTCAAAAAACTGATATTAACAGGTCCTTTTTAACCTTTCCCCCTCTATTTTGTGGTTTTGTGACAGACTCCTTTTTAAAAAAGAGCTGTAGAAACCATTATTTCCTGAAAGCACTGTTAACAAATTCCACACACACACAATTTCAGGGGCATAGAAATGACTCAAAACTCACAGAATCTAATATTAAGAACATTTAGAGTTGTAAAATTCTCTGAACTAAATGAAAAGAAGACTTTATGAGGCACAAGATGTAGCACTCCTTTTCAATCCAAAATAAATCAACTAACTTTTACTTTGAAACCTTAAATAATAAATATATAACATTCAGCTATATATAATACAATTAATAATAATCCTAAAAGTTAAACAGAACATGAAACATGTATTTTTTAAAAGTACTATATCTAAATGACTAAACAGTACATGCCTTCTTAATTTGTTGATCAAACATGTAGAGGACAAAAGTAAAAATATGAGTATTACTAACTCATCTAATTAATGAAGAAAGAGCCCCATGAATTTTGCTAAATAAAAAGTCAAGCCATTTAGAACTTTGCAGATATAAGTTATATTACAAATAAACCTAGAGAACTCAATTATAAAAATCAGCCAGCATTTTTCCTTAACCAGACTTTCAACAATCTGTAAAACCTTCCTCTAGTGTTATTCTTCATCATCATCAATCTTTAAAATTTAATAAGAAAATGTCTGAGTACATTTTAAATAGTAATGTGCTAATGGAATGAGGCAATGTACTAGCAATTTTCTTATTCTCATCTTATCATGGAAACATGGAATTTATACAGAGTTTTGAAATCTAAATATGTAAGCAATGACCTTAAAATACTATGTTCATTAAGGACTCTTGTAAGTAAATGAAACACTTTTTATGGTTATTACATAAGAAAATGATTAACTAAAGAATATAATAAAAGCCATATCTCTCAACTATCTCACTCATTTGTACTGTTTTATTAGTAAAATATTTTACATTTTAGAGTAACCAAACTGCCTAACTTCTTCATTTTAAGACTTTCATTTTAATAAATGGATAAATGATTCTTAGAAAGGTTGCCAGATCTAATTAAAATTGTTTTCTCAATTCTACTTTAGTATAGATCAAGAATTTGTTAAGATTGGATTTAACAAATCTAATCATAAGCTTTTCAAGTGGATCATAATACAAATTCTTTCTTTATAAACACATCATAGCAAATTTTATAATCCTTAACTGATTTCCAGAGATAATAATTCTGAAACATTCCAGATAGTTGAGAGATGTGGTTAAGGTGACAAAATAATAAATCAAGATTTATCCATGACAGAAGATAGAGATAACAATCACTTAGAATCTTGAGTATTATATTCAGTTTCTCCAGCTGAAATCTGGCTGAGGCGCTTGCTAGATCCCCATAATTTTCGAGAAAGCTGACCTGAACGCATCTGTTTAAAGTAATCCAGAGAAATAAAGAATAGAAATTATTAAATACAAAAAATAAATAAATCAAATTGATATACAAGGCATTGATTTTTTAGAATTAAGAAAAAATTTATTTTGTTAGTGGAATCATTCATCAACATTTTAGAGATTCTTGATTAATAACATTTTACAAAAATACCCAATGAGTGTGGTTATCTCTTTCTGTTTAGAAAGGTCTAATACCAACGTGTTGCTGGAGAAGAGTCTTGAATATACCATGGACTGCCAAGAAAACAAATAGGTCTGTCTCGGAGAGTGTGAAACCAAGTTTTTCCTTGGAGGTGAGCATTAGGAGCTCTGTCTCACATATTTTGGGCACAAGGCCAGGAGGAACCAATCATTGGAGAAGGACACCATGCTCAGAAGTTTGGAGGACAGAGAAGGAGAGGAAGAGCCCTGATGAGATGGATTGATACAGTAACTGCGGCAATGGGGGTAGGTATGTCAGAGTCTCTGAGACTTCTTTAAGACAGGGCAGGCTTCAGAACTATTGTACATGGGGTCACTATGAGTTGCAGGGCAAACTCAATGGCACGTAACAACAACGACAACAACAACATTATCATCTTCCATGTAACTCTACTACTGTTACTACTGCTCCTCTTCATACATGCTTTTCCTAGCTTTGTCCAGCTATTTTTGTTATTGTGTGCAGTTGAGTCACAACCAACTCAGAGGCAGTAAATCTCACGGGAATAGACTGCCCATCCTTCTCCATTGGAACAGCTAGTGGATCCAAACCATGTACTTTTGCGCTGACAGCACAATTCCTTACTACGAAGTCACTAGAGCTCCCTTAGCATTAGATACAAAGGAAATCTTTTCCTGGTAAAAGTTATTAATCAAGAAACTCAATCAGCAGTGAACAGAAACATAATTAAAGTGTAAGCGTAGAGAATTGTTGGCATTTGGGGGAAAGACTTTTTTTCTTAGAATATTTTTAAAAATACCATGACTAAAGAAATCTTAAATTATTAGTTATAATATTTCTATGATGAAGCATAACCACTAATAATGTAATAGTTAGTTGTTTTTTATCTTCAAGTAACCTCACAGATGTCAAATCGTTAAATTTCTCAGAAAAAGCAGTTTCTTCTTGTCATTAAGTACTATCGAGTTGACTAGGACTCAGTGATCATATGAACAGCAATCTGAACTCTTGCCCTATCTCGTGTCATACTTAATCCTCACTGATCTATTTGATCCCAAGTTTCCAGTCACTGTGTCAACCCATGTTATCGAAGGTCGTCTTCTTCACCTGGTCAACCACCACGGCTTTTTCCTTGGAGTGGACCCTCCTAACAATATGTCCAAACCATGTGAGATGACTTTTCACCATCCTTGCATTTAAGGAGCACCCTGCTTAGTGACTGTATTAGTTTATAATGCTTAATTTGATGCTATGTAATGAAATAAAAAATTTTAAAAGTATGTGGAGTATAATCATATAGTTTCCTAGGAACACATTTTTGACTTATAATATCTAATATTTAAGAATTGATTAGCTTTGACAAGTAAATTTATGATAGTTATAGAAACAATGAGACTAAGAACATTTAAGTGTGGCAAACTCTTAGTTTAAAAAAAATCTGCTTTTATAAGAGGGCAACATATATAATCATGCTGAGTATTTTATCAAAACTAAATAGTTATATTTTAAATTATTTCATTGTTTTAAATAAAGATTTTTATGTACTCAAAATCCATAATATAATCCCAAATTATATATGGAAAATAAGTTTTTTCTTATTCCTATAGAGTTGTGGGGAGCAAATGTCAAGTGCCCTTAATCAAAATATAAATATTGAAATATCACTCTTGAATAGTAGTCTTATCCCATTTCATTTACTGCCCTTTGAAAAATCAAATTTGCTTTTAGATTTGTTCATCCATAATGGTGACTTATGACTCAACTGGATCAAAGAAGAACCAAAAGAATCCATAACAGTTCGAGAAATGAAATTTTTCATGCTAATTTTTACCTCAGCTGGCTTGCCAACTCCCACTACAATCAATTTGCCATCTTCTAATCCTACAAGAATATGACTGTAGTCTTTGGTTACACAAACACAGTGAATAGGCAATCTCATAGTTAATGGGTTGATGCTGAGATTTAAACTAGAAGAGAAATAAAAAGAAAAAAGTATGATTATACATGGATAGGCAATAAATTCACATAATTCTATAACTAGAAAATAATCTAGTTCTGTATTCTATTTTATAAATGTTAGGGACTATATGTTCTGGAAGTATAAGTGATTCACTTAAGGATCCACATCTATAATATTTAAAAGATTTACAGTCTTGGAAAACCTTTAGGGTAGTGGGATTATCCCCTCAATAATCCATATCTGTTTCTTTCATGCTAGTACAATTAGAGGGAAGCAGGGAAAAGTGAGGTGGAATACAGATAAGAGTTCTATCTGAACATAAATTAGATTCCTGTCCTTTTCTATTATGGACTGAATTGTATCCTCCCCAAGAATATGTTTAAGTCTAACTCTGGCACCTGTGAACGTGCTGTTGTTTGAAATAGGTACTTTCTGTGAAGGCTGTTGTTATGTGAAGGTACTATTAGTTAAATTAATGAAGTCATGCCTGTTTAGGGTGTATTCTTACTCCCTCCTGAGTTGTGTCTTATAAAATGGAAGAAGAGACAAATAAAGTCACATGGAGGAAAAGATCATGTAAAGATACACAAATAAGCCAAGAGAAACTGGAGAAACCAGAAGTTGGAAGAGAGAAGAAAGTGCTTCACTGAGGGTGGACAGAGAGAATAGCATTGCTGACACAGAATTTGGACTGCCCGTTTCTAGACTTTTGAGATAATAAATTTCTGTTCTATAAAGCCACATACTTAAGAGCTATTTTGATCGTGGCAAATCTAGGAAATGAAGACAATGTCCTACCTAAAACAGGTGGAGATAAAATTCCTACAGCAGTCACCATTCTCTGAGTTTCAGACCCCCTGTGGTCTTTTGTTCCAGCTTTGTCTTGACCTTATCTCTAAAAACACATGAAACTCAAGACACACCCTGTGCTCAAACTGCTGTCTCTGTACTTTTGTTCTTTACTTACTCAGATCTTACCTCCTCCTATCTTTACTTTTCCTCTTTCTGTGTTCACTTCTATTCCTACTAATCCTTCAATAATACTTCTCCAACTACTCAGATACATTGTAATTCCTAATGTCATCAAATTATTCTGATACACAGAACTTTTTTTTGTGTCCTCAAACTGGTTCCAATTTTTGGTGACCCTTTGTACAACAGAAAAAATCTTGCTGTTGCTTTTAGTTGTCATCACGTTAACTATGACTCACAGTAAGTCTATGAACAACAGATTGGAACTCTGACATATCCTTGCTGCTACCACATAAGGTAGTTTTCAAATGTTCTAATTTGTACAAAATTATTACTATTTCTAAGTATTACACAATCAATACACTTGGTACCAGTCGTCTGGAGATCAGAGACTTATTTCTATAAGAAAGTCTGCAGTCAGGAACCTCTCCAAATCACTGAAGGGCAATGATCTTTTCAGTTACTTCCTGTGAGCTGGACAAGGAATAAGGATGAGAGAAAAACTGTTACCTTTGAACTGTGGAGAAGAGTACTAAATATCCAATGGACTGCTAAAAGAACAAATAGGTATGTCTTGGAGAAAATACAGCTGGGTGATCTTTGAAGTCAAAAATGACAAAGTTTCGTTTATTAAACTCTGGGCATGTTGTTAGGTTATTCCTTGGCAAAGGACACCATATTTAAAAAGGTAGAGAAATGACAAAAGAGAAGATGACCTTCAACTAGATGAACTGACACAATGGGCTCCAGTATGACAGAGATGATGAATATGACACAGGATATGCCATATACTATGGTACAGGGTTCAAATTTGTTGTTCATAGGTTTGCTAGGAGTTGCACTTGACTTGATGGCACCTACCACCAACTATGTCCCCACTAAGCCTGAGTCAGTTATTATGAGTAGGCAGTACAGTGTTGAGGGGAGAAGAGCTCTCACTACTTTCACTGTTTTGGTTAATATGTAAAAACTGGACACCACACAAATTGCCCTGAGTTTATTTTAACACATAGTGCCCCTAACAGAACAGAACCAACCTACAGTATTTATAGGCTGTGATCTTTACAGAAACAAAATTCTACATCTTTCTCTCATGGAATGGCTGGTGGGTTCAAGCTACTTAGCAGTCAAGTGTTTAATCAATGCAACAGTAGGGTGCCTCAAAAGTTAAAGAGGAAGGTAAGAATCCAAAAAAAAGATGTGTGAGGGAGAAGCAGGGTGGGAAAAATCCCCAAAACCAAAACTGTTACTTAATTTGCCTAATATCTCATTACAAAAAATACTTGGGCATATATAATGATTAAAGAATGAAGAATCTGACAATATATTATATTCTATACTGAACTGTGGAAAAATTATTAGACTTATTAGAATTACTACAATTTAAAATTTTACTTGTAATGGAGAGTAAGTAGCCTACTACAGAGGAAGAATGACAAGAAAAGACAAAATCAGGTAGGGGATATGAATAGACAAGTTAATTGTTAGATGGAGCTGAGTCAATTTTTTGAAACTAGAACTTCCACAAAAGGTTTTCTAGGCTATAATCTTTACAGGAACACATAATCAGGTCTTTCTCCCACTGTGAGTATAAAAGCTAGTAAATATGAAGAAAACTAAACTTCTATACATGCATGCTACTCAAACATTTTCCCTCTTTTCTGGACTGAGTAACAAAAGACTTCCTGATCCAATGTTACATACACACAAATGTTATATAAATACATGCATAAAATATATTAGCCTTAAAAATTGAATCTATTAAAGTTCAAACTATAATTTTAACAATTTAAAAAATTTTAGCTATGTTTGTCCCTGTGAAAACTTTTGGTATGATCTACATACTTTCTTAAGATTTTTTTTTTCTACAACCAGGAGAAGATAAAATAGATGAATGGGACCTTGTAACAATCAAGTCCCTATGCATATCCAAAAACTTCTCCAACAGGGTAAAAAGGGAAGCCACAGACTGGGAAAAATATTTGCTAATGACATGTCAGATAAGGGACTTAC